AAATAAGTGAATGTCGGCTGTCTCGAATAAGGTCGACCCTGGACAGTAGCAAGGTTCCCTAAACCTCTACAATTCCAACTCACACAACTCATGTCTCATGACGGTGATGATATCCACAAAACGAAACCAGAAAAAACTGCCCCAAAAGACCTGAACACCAATCGATCAACCTTGAGTCGATTTGCTGGGAAAAAACCCCTAGAGAGAGCTAGGCCCGGACCGCATTAAGAAAGCCTTTAAAACATACCAATTAGTGGAAGCGAGTAATAATTAATAATTACTCAAAGTAATTACGTTTCAAGTGGGTTGGACCGAACATAGAACTCACCAAGCTCAATAGAGGGAGTACGCGTATAAATCAATCACATTTATACACGATTTAGCTATTTAACTACCTGAGTGCTCTTCATGTCAGGCCGGCCTGACGGGCTGCCCCGTCCGGCCGAGCCCGTTTGGGCACCTTCCCGGTGGAATTTTTTGATGAAATTTTTTGAGCATGTTCCTCGTCAAGTCTAGTTTGTCCATACCAAATTTCAGCTCAAAATTCGATCGGGAAGGTCGTCAAATGATTTTTGCAAGTTAACTGGTCCGGAAAATACATATTCCAGACCAGTTAACTTGCAAAAATCATTTGACGACCTTCCCGATCGAATTTTGAGCTGAAATTTGGTATGGATAAACTAGACTTGATGAGGAACATGCTCAAAAAATTTCATCAAAAAATTCCACCGGGAAGGTGCCCAAACGGGCTCGGCCGGACGGGGCAGCCCGTCAGGCCGGCCTGACATGAACATTCCTCTTAACTACCTTAGCGGACCAAATTCATAGATGCATTCTATCCGTTCACCGGTTGTATTTTGGCTCTAACAAGAACAACTTAACGTATCAGAACATATTTTACCAAAGCAAAACTTTGCGAATTGATTTCTCTATCACAATTTGAACAGTATGTACAAGTTTGCGAATTGATTGCGAATTGTAATTTATTTTACGAACTAAGTGCAAGTTTTATCCCCTTTTCGTGCTTACCTTCAAAACACACTCATTTGTGATTGATGATTTTGTTTTTTAAATTCCAAATACCAAAACATGAAAACTCTTCTTTTAAATAGATACTCCGTACACATTTTATATTTATATTCCTACATTTGTTATTACACATTTATAATCTAAACTTCTTTTCAAAAGCATAAATGTTGATAATTTATAAAACTAGGCTTCTCCAACACATTATGATTCAATAACATTATTGTGATACTCTCGTAGACTAGATCGTATCGTCAAAACTAGGGATGGACTTTTTAACCGAAAACCCGAAAACTGAAGCGAAAAACCCCGAACCGAGCGATAAAAAACTGATCCAAAACTGAATCGACTTGAATGGTAGCCGAGAGTTCGGACGCGAAAGTTGGGACCTGAGTATGAATCGGTTTGGAACCGGTTCTTTGAGATTGAAAATTGATTCAAACCGAACCGACTTTTCTATTAAATAATTATCGTAGTTTTTTAAATATTTTATTTAATTGGACTCAATGTAATGTAATTATAACAATTGGCGTCTGAATGTGCTAGCATTTGGAAGTAGTTCACCGGTAACACATATGTGTCCTTTCTTGATCACCCAAGATTGATCTCCCCCAACCCCAAATTCTCATATGTGTTTATGTTTTTCTTCCGTGTCAACTTCTTTGTTTGGTTTTTCTACAGCATTTAGTTTGACGCCCCAGAGAAACAATGAGATCAAATAATACTTAAAATTAATACTAATAGAATTAAATATGAAATAATTAGAAATTTATACATCATTTTTACTAAATATAAAAGGTAATACATTGCATTTATTTTGCATGTATATATTATGCATACATTGCATGACTAGCCCATAATTGGTTTTATAATTTACAAAAACTAAAAATATTAAAAACAAATCTTTTATAAATAATTTTTAATGTATTAATAAACTAAAATACGTATAACCGTTATAAGTAAAAATATATTGAGAAATATTATGTAAAAAAATAAAAAATGTTTTTAAATATTAATGCCATCATAATTAAAATATTAGTGAATAGTGATCACTTCATCCTAACAGCTAATGTATCTTTAAAAAATTCACAGTAAATTAGAGGCACCTAAATTTCAGAAAATCAGAAAGTTGGATAAAATTCATAGCACCTAAATTACTAAGCCACAAGCTACTTGTTAATTAGAGGCTAAGAGCATCATATCTTGGGTGAGGCCTAAACGTAATAGCTGAATTAGCTATGCAAAAAAAAAAATCTCATTAAATAAAATAAATAAACTAATATGGAGCATCTAAACATGAAGGCAAAGTATGAGCCGTGGGACTAAAATAGCAGCAAAACTCAATATCAGTAGGAGCCATGGGAATAAATAGCAGCTAAAAGCTAAAACCCAATTTTAGTATGAGTTGAAATGAAAAGCATAAAAAAAAACAAATTTTCCAGCAACCCATTTGATGAATTGACAGAGACTTGTACTCCGTAATATGAGATGAAATCCAATCATTATTCTAAGATTCTTTCATAGCATCAAAATGTCAATTTGGCAGAACCTTGTTCACTATTCTTGTTCATACGAAGTAATTAACGAAACAACTACGTAGTACATCATCACTTAGTTGAAAGAAATAAAATAGAAAACGGAAATCATTCGATCAAGAGGGAGTACACAGATTGAGAAAACCTGAAGAGCAAAAGTTTGCAGTTTTTTTTGTTGAGAAGGAGAATTAGTGACGAGAATTGAAGGGAGGCACCGAGGCAGGAGGCAGCGTAGAATTATGCGTGGGTAGATTAGGGAAAATTGGCTTTGTAGCCAATTTTAAAATTTGGCTGTTTGGATAAAAAAAACTAAATGAAAAGTCATGTAACCAAACACCCTATTAGTTGATTCATCTGGTCAAACTGTTAAATATTGGTCAAAACAGCTAAAAAATGGCCGATAGGCCATTAACCAAACACCCCCTTAGACTAGACTATTAGTCTCTTCTGACCCTTTCTTTTTCTCATGAAATAGGAGGTGAATGTTTTATTTTTAGACACATTGTACTTGTTAAATTTTGCTTGGGTGGTAATATAATTTACATTTCATCCAAAAAAACTACAAAAAGGGAGTTCAACTTCACAATTTTGTCATTCGATTATATATACACACGTACAAGTATAAATAATATATACTGCTGAGTGCTAACCTTGCTGTATACTACGTATAATATTATATTATACGGAGTATAATACAAAAATAATAAATCGCATAATGATTAAAATCGTGAAGCAAAGGAAACTAATTAGTCATCTTTTTCAATTGAGAAAATTACTTTAATAGGAGTACTTCCGTTGGCTATGTTTAATATGAGTGTCTTATGGCTGGCTTGACAAAAATACCCCTGCTAAATAAGTTGCCTCCATTCCCACAGGAGCGCTTAACATTTATTGAATCAAATAGTTTATAGCACATTCAGCCGCTAGATGCATTGCTGCGCACTCCTTCCGCCCCTCGCCCCTATTCTTACGGCCGCTGCCCTCGCCGCTACTCCTGCAGCCGCCGCGGCCCTCGCCGGAATGGTCTGTCGTCGCGGCCCTCACCGGCACGGTGGCACCGCCAGTCGCCGCCAATGACAATTCAACCATCTATCGCCACAGACATTTCAACCATCTATCACCTCCGAGAGTGGCTAGATAAATCTTCCATTAAGTTGGAATGTTTTTTGTTTTGTAGATTAATTTTAATTCTGCCATCAAATGATATACAAACCTGCCATAAAAGATGGCAGATTTATCTTGGAATATTAACACAAAACTTCCATAAATTTGGCAAAAATATAGTCAATAACCAAATATTAAGAAATATATATATAGAATAAGAACTTAATGCAATCTGAAAATAGAAGCACAAAGCTAATAGCAAAAAATAGTAAAACAATCAATGAACACAAAAGGTTTTTTTGCCAAAGTACGATTGTCCTAATACACATTTCTGCCAAAAACTTGGCAAAGAGTGAAGCTATCTTCCAAAATTTGGGAAAATCATTTTTTAATGAGAAATCAAAAATCAGAAGTTTAGGACGGCAAAATAGCAGTACGAAAACTAACCAAATCAATGTCAAATCCCAGAGAAATGGAAGACTATAATAAAAATTAGAAAAATCAATGTAAATTTCAGAAGTTAGAGGAATAGGGGGAGGAGGGGGAAGAAGAAGATCGAAGAAGAAGAAGAAGAGAAGAAGAAGATGATGAGGAAGAAGAAGAAGCAAAGAAGAAGAAACCTGGCAGCCATGTATGGAGAGTAATCGATGACGGAGTCCAAGGAGAACGATTGATCTGGTGAGGAGCAAGGCGGAGAGAGTCCATGGCAGCGACAATGGTGCGCAGGGAAGTCAGCAGCGGTGGCGTGAATGGAGTAGTAACGCAGGGAGTAAGATGCGATGAATTGATGTGCGCAGGAGGAGCAGATATAAATAGGGGCAAATAGGGAATGCAATTTACGTATGTTTACAAATAGGAGTAAGATACTCCTATTTAGGGGGAAAAAACATACACACTCCTATTTAGGAATTTCCCTTATGTTTTACACAATTACACTTTTCAATTGCGACAGACGTAATACACATTGATAATTACAAAAGATAAATATGAAGAAGCTTATCCAAGGGGAAAAAAATCGAGATGAGTGCGGCTGGCAGATCAAGAAGATACTTGGTAGTTCTTACGTAGTTGCGTCTTGCCAAGTTTTATCGTTTTTGCCGCTACAATGCAATCGTAATCGGTAATTTTAATAGGGTTAATTGGTAAAACATGGAGCTCGACCCATTTAATAATCCGTATTAGCGGTTGTAAAATAGGTTACCACCCCAAGTAAAATGTTTTGCATGGTACAGAGTAAAATATTTCAAAAAAAGTATCCTACCATTTGCATCAAATAATTAAAAAACGGTGTGAAATGTTTAGCACAAGAAAAATGTTTTTGTACCAAAGTAGGACAAAATATATCCCAAACATGAAAAGAGATGATATCGACTCAGCCAGGAGACATCTAGCTGGGAAATGGCGATATCGCTAAAATTACTTCCTTCATCACCACCCGCTCCTTCTCTCCCACCTTACACCAAACCCCACCACCATATTTTCCGACTAAACCACCGGTGTTTCACCAGTATATCCTACGCAACCTTCAAGAGCAACAGCTCTCTGCCGGAGACGGTTTGCCCTGTCCCGCCGGAGCAGCAGCCAGTTAACGAATTCAAGGCCTTGTCGGAATCATTCCCCTTCTCTTGGGCCTCCGGCAACCTGACCGACTACAGCTCGCGGTTGTTCGTCACCGGAGCTTCGTTTGCGCTCTTAGTGGGCCTGCCCGTTCTGTGGTTCGGGTCGGTTGGACCCGAGTCGGACCCCTTGAAGCCGCTGTTGGGTGCTGCTTCTAGCGGGCTTATCTTGGTCACTCTCGCTGTTGTGAGGATGTATCTGGGATGGGCCTATATTGGCAACCGCTTGCTCAGTGCCACGGTTGAATGTATGATTTTGTTTTGTAATTCTTGCCAGTTCTCTTTATTTTCCAAAGGTAATGACAATTTAAGAAATTAATTGATTTTTTCTTATTCTTTTATTGCTATTCGATGAAGATGAAGAGACTGGGTGGTATGATGGACAGGTATCTCTATTTTTATTGTTAAACGTGTTTTCTTTTCCCTTAATGTGATGAATGAATTCATGTATTCGTTTAGGTAAATCAATTAAGGGCTCTTGTTTAGTTTTTTGTCCTTCCGAGTTTGTGTTAGGAAATAATGATATGGTTCATAGTATTTCTATAACCTCTAAATAAATAGTACATCCGTCCTGCTTAAAGGTTCTCATTACAAAGTGACACGGTTATTTAGGCAATAATTAAATCAGGTAATTCAAGTATATTTTGAGAAATAATTTTGATGAGTATATAATATAATGAGGTCATTTACGATAATTTTGATGTTATAGAGGTATTATTTTTAATATTTGATGATTAAATTGTCATTTAAGAGTGTTAATTGTTTCCTAAAATAGGTCCATCATTTTCAATGGAGCCAAAAGTTGATTATTTTTTGGCTTGAGAATATGATGGAATAAAGCAAAATGGCTCATTAAACTGTCTGCGTTTATTTGTTATGAAGCAGCAGTCAGTCCATGCAATTTTGGATGCGATTTTCACTATGGGTCATCCGGAAACAGTTTTTTTGTGCTTTAGTACAGGGGTAAGACTGCGTACATCCGACCCCCCCCTTACCCCATCGTAGGTGGGAGCCTTTGCGGCACGGGGTAAATGAAAATGAAAATGAATTGTTTCTTAAAATAGAAATGAGAACCTTTATATTTGAAGTCCAAAAAAGGAAAATGAGAACTTTGGAATAGGGGTGCAAATGAGCCGAGCCGCTCGGTCAAAGCTCGGATCAAGATCGGTCAAACTCGAGCTCAAGCCGGCTCGTTAAGCAGTCGAGCCATAAACGAGCCTACTGATTTTAGGCTCGCGAGCCTAGTCATATGTGTGTATATTTAATTAATATATGTAATATATTAATATACCATACAAATTAATACTAGTATATAATACGGAGTATATATTAGTATATGTAATATATAATATAAATTAATTTTTTTTATAAATTAATATATATATATATATATATATATATATATAATACCGATTCATAAATGTATATGAGGACCGGGGAGATATTATTAATTATAAAGTAATTTAACAAAAATAATCAAAGTTTCACCCACTATTTCTTAATGGGTTGATCACTTTTGAGTTTTGATTTATATTAGAAGTACAATGGGTAGAGACTCGAAGTTAGAATTATATTTTGTTTATTTTCCCGTAAGGTTTAGTTGTTGGACATGTAAATTGCAATTTGCAAATGTTAAACACAAATATTTAAAGATTGTTTCATACTTGAGCTCGAGTTCGAACACGAACTTTCGAGCTAATCGAACTTGTAACTTTTGAACGAACCAAAAGTATCTAGCCGAACCGAGCCGAGTCGAGCCAAATCGAGCCAAATAAATATTTGCGAGCCGAGCTCGAGCCCAGATTTTTTAAACTCGTCCGAGCCGAGCTCGAGCTCGAGCCAATACAATATAATTCGAGCTCGAGCCTACATAAACTCGGGCTCGGCTCGGCTCGTTTGCACCCCTACTTTGGAATGGGACGGAGGAAGTACTAGTACTGTTACTGTATAACCCTCACATTTTTTTTAGTATCATGTGAATTCAATTCCAGAAACCTAGTCCAAGGAAAGAGGTATTTAGTTACTCATAATTCTTTAGTCTATGACTAAATATCATTTAAAGAATATATTTACATAGTTAATTATCTGCATTGACAAGCCGGTAGATATAATAGGGAGTAACAAGTATGCAAAATCAAAGAGATGTGGGGATGTTGAAGGAGGCTCTATTCTGCTCATAGTATTACTTTTCAAGTAGAGCTTTAATGATTTATATCAATTGCCCATTACCAAGATTAGAAAATTGTATGTGGCTGGACAAACAAAACTCTCTTTTTTTGATGGAGGCATATTTTTAAGGCATCTTAGAAGTGATCTTGAAAAAGAAAGAAATATATATGGGCTTCTCCTGAAATAAGTTTATTTATTATTAAATGTGTTTTTGTGTTTATTTTCACCAAACATGATCCAGTGAAGGCGATGATTCTTATACTATCGGTGTTTGATTGAATATACTGTTAGATAACTAACATAAACTGAAGGCAGTTAAGTTAGCCTTCACCCAGTACAAATGTGAGCATTTTGTGTAATTTACTTTTGGTTCCATTTCTCAAATGCAACAGTACCTCTGTTAAAATAGATTCTCTTTATCACACACATACACACAATTGCAATGTGCATTAAGAACGTATTTCTTGGCAGGTTTGGGTGAAGACTCCTGAAATGTTAGCACGCGACCGGCTCTTGGGTTCATTTTCTGTAAGTACTTCTGGACTCTGCACATTGTAAAAGTGCTTGATAAATTTCAAAGTGATAGTTGTGAATTAAGATTTCATAGTTTTCTTTGTTCTTCTTCCCTCTTTCAAGGGCCAAACACAATGGGCCTGTTTGGGACCTGCAAAAAATGCAAAGGAAAGTAGAAATTTGGAAGGGGAAACAATTGCTTCAAACTCAATTAAATCAATATGAGATCCTTGGACAAAAACTTATGTATATTTTTCTATTATTTAAAGCTTAAGGAATATAAATAGAAATAATAAAAGATTAAAATCTGTATTTGGCTTTTTCCCAAGGTAAAACCAAATATAAAGAACTCTTTCTGCAAGCAATTTTATTTTCCTTTCTTTTCCATTTCCCACATTCCTAGCAGAGGCAGTAGGAGTTAATGGTGCATCTCTGATGGGAAATTAGAACATTTGTTGCCAGCTAAATAATCAACAATAACATAAGGGATTCAAAAGGAAATGGGTGTGTTGATTTCTTCTTACTTTCTTCTGAAGAATAAAATGTTAAAAGTTAAAACATACTAGCATTAACTAATGGTTATGATTTGGCAATGAGGGTGACATCATGTTATTATCTATTGAGTCTAGTTTCACACTCCCAATGAGCAGTAGCTTCTGACGTGGCACACTGATATTTACTTTGCTAACTAGTTTTTTTTCTTTATTTCATTTAAAGTCATATCCGTTTGCAACATGACACCGCATGGAGTCTTAGAGTTCATATAGATGTTATTGTGTGAAAGATTGAAAGAGATAAGAAACCAATATAACTTTGATGAATATGGGAGAGAGCCAGAGACCATATAATACCCCTCAACTTTATTTTGGAACACTAAACACAAAAATTGCAAAGTTGGAACAAGTATACCCTTTAACAAATCATTATAGAGCATATATACCCTTTAACTATTGGACAGAGGATAATATATTCCCTAATATATAATAGAAGGATATATTTGTTCCAAATTTACAGTTTCTATGTTTAGTTGTTCCAGAAAATGTTGAGGAGTATACTTATTCCCTGGCATATAGTTCTATATGCATATCTTCTCTTTGTTAAATGCAACTCTGCCTAAGCTGTTCTACTCAAGAGAAGTAATAGTGACGGAGTTCTAAAAAGAAATATTTATCTCAATGAACTTTGAGATGCTTTTTTTGCTCTTTATCTGAAGTTTAAAATGTCACCGACTGTTCTTTTTAACAGTGTTGTTACATCTAACAGTGTTTCAGGCCCTTTTAAGCTTGTCTAGAAACACATCTATATAGAGGCTCACTACTCCAAGGGGAATCTGAAGTCTAAATTTAGTTCTGGGGCATATATGTTTCTTCTCTCTTTGTTAAATGAAAATCTACTTCAACCCTTCTACTTGTACTTGCGATAGGAATTTTAAAAAGAATTTTGAGGCACTTTTTTACTCTTTATATGCACAGTTTAAAATGTCACCAAATGGTCTTTTGAACAGCATGTAATGTAACGGTGTTTTGGACCCTTTTGAGCTCGTATAGAAGTGCATCCAAATAGGCTCACTACTGTAAGGGGAAACCTGAAGTCTTAAAATTTAGAAGCTGTTCTCTTCACCTGATCTGAATGTTTCTGATCTGAATTTTTTAAGTTTTGATCTGATCTGAATGTTTCTGATCTGATCTTATCTGAATCTTTCTGATCTGGTCTGATTTGATTTGAATGTCCCTGATCTGATCTGAATGTTCCTGATTTGATCTGAATGTTCCTGATCTGATCTGAATGTTCCTGATCTGATCTGAATGTTTCTGATCTGATCTGAATCCTTCTGATCTGGTCTGATTTAAATATTTCTAAAATTATAATTATAATTTTAATTTTTATTATAATAATTAGAAATGTAATTACACATATATAATTTAAATATAATTATAATTATAATCATAATTATAAAAAAATTATAATTATGATAATTATAATAGATATAATTATTATTATACGTATTACACTAGTTATAAATATAGCTATAATTAGAGGAAGCGGTCCAGCTCAGCTGGTCGCCGACTCACTCTCCCTTATGGGAGGTCTCGGGTTCGAAATTCAATGGGATGAGTTTCAACCTAGTTTACTTCAGGCCCCCCCAGACCCCCTCCCCCAGACGTCTCCTAGAGTAAACAAAAAAAAGCTATAATTATAATTGTAATTATATTTTTAGTTATAATTATTTCTATAATTATAATTTTAATTATAATTATAATATTTATTTCTATAATTTTAATTGTAATTACTCCGTGTAATATAATAATAACAAAAAAAAATACTAATAACAATAACAACAACAACAACCATAATAGTAATAAGAATAATAATAATCATGATAATAATAAATATCATAATAATAATAATAATAATAATAATAATAATAATAATAATCATAGTAATGATGATGGTGATGATGATGATAATAATAATAATATCAATAATAATAGTAATTATAATAATAATTACAATAACAATAAGAATAATAATAATAATAATAATAATAATAATAATAATAAATTAATAATAATAATATCAATAATAATAGTAATTATAATAATAATTACAATAACAACAAGAATAATAATAATAAATTAATAATAATAATAATAATAATAATAATAATAATAATAATAATAATTATAATTATTATTAATATTATTATAATTATTATTATAATAAAAGGGATAAATCATGTCTGAACTTTTCTGATCTGATCTGAATGTTCCTGATCTGATCTGAATGTTCCTGATCTGATCTGAATGTTTCTGCTCTGATCTGAATGTTTCTGATCTGATCTGAATGATTCTGATCTGATCTGAATAATTCTGATCTGATCTGAATAAAATAAGAATAAGCAATAAGATTAAAATGTTAAGGCTCACTTACTCTTGGTATTAGATAACATTTCAAGGCCTCAGTTGTATTCTAAATTGCCCACCCAACTCTTAATTTGGCACAGGAGACTGTGTAGCCCAAACGAGTAGATGATTGAGTTAATAATAAATAAGAGCACACAAATTTCATAAATAGTTTGGTTGAACGAGCCACCAATTACGGAATATCATAAGCATCTAATATCGGAGAACAAGAGAAACAAACCGGCATATAGTCTTGAACTACTCAGCATGGAATGTGTGCCATATTTAATATGAAATAAATCAATTTTTTTAGTGTGGACATTTTAATGGTCAAAACCTCGATTCTCTGGGAGTATAATGAAGCATTGTGTTCACAACCAAACTTGAGAGATTAGTTAAATGTTTTGTACTCTTTTAATTGCTCACAGGTCAAGCCAGTCCTCGTTAGATTAAAGAACACCTTTGTGGTTCTTGCAACTTCTTTAGTTCTATGTGCTGGCCTTCTTATATATGGTGAGAGCACCCAAAGGGTCATCCCTTCATCGGCTGCTCAAGAAGTTGGTGATAGATCTTTTCTTCCCCGTGTTTACAGTGATGAGTCTGCAAAGTTCTTTGAGCCAGACATATTTCATAGTGAACCTGACCTTAATTAGTTCATAGCAGCCTAGCAGGATCACCCCCACTTGTTAAATAGTTGTTTGTAAATGGCAGTACTCATGTTTCAATCTCTTTTGTATTGAGATTCAACCTATTTTTTATCCACTCTTTACTGAAGAAAAGTGATGAAACCTGTGGACCTACTATAGAATCAAATGAGATGTAATTTTATCATCCATGGTATAGGGAACTTATGCCTTGGATCCATACTCCTTATTCTTGTTTGAGGTGTGAACTTTTTAATTTTTTTAATTGTAATTATTTTTGGCTCAAATGGACATTGCAGTACAAATGGTGGCTCAAATGGACATTACATTACATTACAGTTCAATGTCCTATACATTTGTTCCATTGCAACTTTATGCTTTTCATCATGCTATCATTCCATATTTCCATTGATGAGCTCTCTTTTTTGTTTTAATCGGAAGGTTAATATGAGCCCCTTTTTTCTCCCAGGCCAAGTGTTTTTTCTCCCTGTTTTCATATCCATTTGGGGTAGACTCCCACTGTCCCACAAGGCCACAATGCTCTAAAAGGGCTTTCCATGCTTTTCCAGTTTTCCAGTGTTCGTCTTTTTTAGTGTGGCCTTACCGCCTTAGGCTAAAACAACCTTATTCCGTCAATAAATCAAATTTCCCCCTTTTTATATGTATTCACTCGGTCAATTCATTTTTCTCTACAATCCAACACTGTCAATATATTCACCCAGTAAAGCTTTTTCTTAATTAAAGCCTTACTTTTATCAGCATACATCATTTTTTTTCTAAACCTTTTTTGCAAAGTTTTTCTTGATTTTAATGGTTCAATCTATTTAAGAAAATTTTGAGTATGAAAATCTCTAGCAAATAAAATTTCATGTTTATATATATATATATATATATATATATATATATATATATATATATATATATATATATATATATATATATATATACAGGAAAAACTTCCGTTAAGGTATACCTTACCGGAGCCGCCGTGCGGCCTCCACGTTTTGAGGGCCTTCTTGGTGGAATTTTTCGATGAAATTTTTTGAGCATGTTCTTCATCAAGTCTAGTACATTCATACCAAATTTTATCAAAAAAATCAATCGGGAAGACAGTCAAACGATTTTTTGAAGATAACTGCATTTTATATGTATATAAAGGGTGCAGTTATCTTCCAAAAATCATTTGACTGCTTTCCCAATTGAATGTTTTTGCTGAAATTTGGTATGGATGTACTAGATTTGATGAAAAATAATTATATGAAAGATAATTAAAAGTTATGAAATTTTGTATGTTTTTTTGAAAAAAATTGGAACATAAACAAAAAAAGTTATAAGAGTTTAAAGATAATGTGGGGATTTATATTTGTCATGGGTCCAACCTTTTCCTTCATACGGCTGCACATTTTGTTTACTCCGTCCAAGTGAAAAACCAGGCTAATTCCCATGCATGAAGTGCCATATATTCACTTTGGGACCGCCTCATACTACTGGTTGGAGAAGTTTTTGGGGTCAATAGTTCAAATATGGTCTTTTCACCTCCAGATTGCGGATAGCCTTTTGTTCTGTACTCTTCTATATGTTGCATTGTGATTCGTAATGTTTAAAACTGTAAAATACCACGATTAATAAGAGTAGTAGTAAACTATAACGATGGACTTGCATAAATGGCATAATAGGAGATCAAACCCCTTTACACAATTAAATTCCACGTTAAAAATTTCGAATTAGAGCCTATGTTGTAAAAACCGGACCGGTGAGTGACCCGGAAAAATTACTGGGTCACGGGTCAGCCCGGACCCGGAGGGTCAACCCGATCAACGACCGGTAAACCCGATCAACATGAATATATATAATTATATATAAAAATAAATTCATAAATATAAACTTATATCCCTTTGTAATTTAATATTGATAATAAAATATAAGTAATGTCAAAAAAATATTGTTTAAGGTATATATTGAGTTTCTGTTAAAAACAAAAGTGTATATTGAGTTTAACAAAATTTAAAATGCACTTATTAAACCTCGCCTCTCTCTAGGGCTTCGGCCGCTTGGAGTTTTTTTCCGTCTTCGATTTTAATCGAAGGACGGCCGCTTTTTCCGTCTTCGATTTTAATCGAAGGACGGCCGCTATTTCCGTCTTTGATTTTAATCGAAGGAAGGCTGTTGTTGTTTGTGCTTCATACTCGAAGGGCGGATTTGCTGTCATGGCTCGAGGAGATCGGCGTTGGGGTCAAGGTTCGAGGATGATGTATTGCTGTCGTCGTTGGAGAAGATCGGCGCCGCCTATCCGTTTACTCTGGTTGCATGAAGCAGGGATGAGTTTGGTTATGCAGGGACGGAGGATTGATGCATGACCTTTGGCAGACAAAGGTCACGGAGTATCAATTAGCAGGGTACCGGTGGTAAGACCTCCTCCTGAACCACCACCATGGGATGTACGAGATGCTAAAGTTCGTGAACGTTTTTCTTGTAGTTTTTATCTGTTTGTTATTTGTTTTCTTGTGTCCACTTTTGTTGTTGGTTTTGACAGTTTGTTTGAGTTTTTTGCCTCTCTTTATGTCATTGGGTATGGTTGGATCTATGGGAATAGGTTTGTGTTAAGACTCGGGGTTCCATCCTAAAAGGTCAACCCTGATAGGAGGAGTAGCCCGAAGCTTAATATAGCACTCTAGTGCTTCTCAATTTTCCGGTGTGGGACATTTAACACCCCTCCTCACGACCAGACACTTCGTCTGGATCGTGTCGTCATTCATTTTTTCATCGGTTCGTCATTTTTTTTCGTCATGTCGTCATTTTTCATAAGGGGCCCCACACCATGGATCGATTTGGCTCTGATACCATGTTAAGACTCGGGGTTCCATCCTAAAAGGTCAACCCTGATAGGAGGAGTAGCCCGAAGCTTAATATAGCACTCTAGTGCTTCTCAATTTTCCGGTGTGGGACATTTAACAGTTTGGCTGTGTCAAGCTCACTACATGGTTAGCGATTCGTGTTGCTCTCTCAGGGGTGACCGTCTCAAAGTCTCATCATAGGGTTACAGTCGTAGTTGTTGAAGTTTCAGTTGGTGTCAGTTTTATTTTCCTTTTACTTGATGTAATGATCCTGAATCTTTTGATATGAATAGAGGCCTGTTTGATGATAAAAAAAATTAAAATGCACTTGTGTATGAATTGATGATAAATGTGAGCATAATTCCAATTACAAACTAAAAAATAAAGTAAGGATGACTTACGTAATGAGGCTTGAGGAAGTATATAAATAACATTGGTTTGTATATATTATAGTTTTTATTATAAATTAATTAATTAACAAACTAATTAATTAAAGCAATTAAAATATTACAGATTCGAAAGTTATAATAATAGCTAAGCAAGTGGTATTACAGATTCGACTCCTCTGATGAACGGATTTTTCCGGCTTTGGGCCATTTTCCGAGTTTGGGCTGTGCTGGGTCCGTATCGGGTCTCAACGGGTTATTGGTTAAATCCGGTTTTTGGCTCATTTGCGGTTCAATGCTCAACCGAACCGGACAGATGGCCGGGTGATCGGTTTTCGGGTCGGACCGGCTGATCCGGTGCGGGTCTTACAACATAGATTAGAGCACATGAATCATCTAATCAGGCATGTCATTTGTTAGTCAAGGGTCCTCATCATTTGAGAAAAATCTCTCAAATTTACTAACGACTTAGATTCAAAATCGACATGTCACGGACTCACAATGGCATAAATTTAACTGTGATGAACTCCTACTAGATAATTCACATTCTTTTTACTTTTATTTAAGACAATATTTGAAAACGAATTTAGATGAAATTGACTTTTTCCTATCTCATCTCTCTGTTTGTTGATGCACACCTTGTTTAGAAAAGAGGTTGGTATACTGCATTTCGGCCAAGCTATGTAACAATAGAAAACAACTTAACAAGATTCAAATGTCAGAAAAAACTGGAATTTGTTGTTCCCCAAATAGTAATTACATCAATTTTCTCTGACTGAGATAACAAAGTTTAGGTGCTTGTTATCTTTTGGATGAACATGAATTTAGTTTCTTCATCTAGTGTAGCCAAGGGATCATACTAGGTTACATACATCCATCACATTCTGAATTTGAGAAAATCATCTACTGTGTGTTAAAAAATTATGTAAAAAAGTACTGTATTTGTTTTTTCCTTTCTACTAGTGCATCCTAATATTTGGTCTAGCTATGCCCCTACCACTTTCATTTTTTATAAGTTTTACCCTTTTCTCATTTTCTCTTTCTTATTTTTCGGTTTTTCATCACTCTCATATTTTTACACCATTTCTGCATTATTCACTATCCATATTATTTCACGTTTCAAATGGAGAGTATATGTTTAATGATAATAAAAACTTTCTTAAGAAACTAATGATATATTTAAGTTAATAAAAACTTTCTTAAAAAACGGTTATCATGGCTATTGTATCCATTATGATTTTGAACAAAAAGTATCCATTGAACAAATACAGAAATTATTCGACATGCATAATGGGGGGGTCTTAGGTAGGGATGGACTGGGCCGGGCCGAACCGGCCCGGAACCGGACCGGCCCGCTACTGTGCGGGCCCGGACCGGACCGGGCCCGGTTGGCCGGTTCCGGGCTTTTAGCCCGTGTTGGCGGGTCGGGCGGGCCGGTTCCGGGCCCTATTTTTGTTGAACCGGCCCGGGCGGTTCGGGCCGGGCCCGGTTCATTTTTTTTTTTTTTTTGGTTTTTTCAATTTTTTTTCTTTTCCTAGGGTAGGGCTGGGTGTTTTAGGGAGGTTTGGGGCATGGGGGTGGGGGGGGGGGGTAGGGAGATAACAAGAAAGTAAAAAAAAAAAAAAAAAACATTGAACCGGGCCCGGCCCGGCCCGGCCCGGTTAGGCCCGGACCCGGTATCAACCCGGGCCGGTTCCGGACCCATGTAACCCGAAAAAAAGCCCGCCCGGGCCCGGCCCGGAACCGGCCCGGCCCGGGTCCATCCCTAGTCTTAGGGATGGACTAGCCCGGCCCGGAGGGGGGGTAAAGGGCTTAAGTCCTATTGGAACCGGCTCGACCGGTTCGGGACCGGTTCGGGCCCAATTTTTTTTCCCCGAATGGATTGGGTGGTAGGCGGGTTGGGTTGGGTGGTTTGGGGGTGTTTGGGGATTGGGGGTGGGGGGTAGGAACAAATAAGGAAAACCAAAAAAAATATTACAAGATCCGACCTGACCCGTGCCCGGTCCCGAAACCAACCTGGACCGGTACCGGGCCTAATGCCCAAAACATTTGACCCGCCCAAGACCTGACTGGACCCGGTCCCGGTCCATCCCTAAAGCTCTATGTACTTCAAAGTATGTTCAATATTTGTCAGCGGGCCTTGGCCCATTCCATTTGAGCATGAATCAATTGATTGGGAACTC